CGTCCGTCCGTCTGTCCGTCTTACGATAACTCTCGTTAAACTCATCCTATCGGACTTGAAATTTGCTACACATGTAGTATGGGCAAATGAGGAGTTAAGTTCGAAGATGGCGAAATCGGTCAAGTGGTTGACCAGTGGGGTCATATAGGTGGATGGGTATTATGCATCAAAATTTCAAAATTGTCATAGAAGGCAGAAATTTGGCACTGAGGTTGTAATGGTGTCTAATGAAAGAGTATGAATTTAAGTTGGAAAAAATTTTATTTTGAAAGACCCTAGGGGTGACCATACTGATTTGTCAAAATCGTCATATCGAGTTGAAATTTGGTAGATAGGTTGCGTATGGGGTTTAAGGGAAGAACATTAAATGAAATTGGTCAAATTTTTTATCTGAGGGACCCGAGGGTGACCCATATCGATTTTTGAAAAATCATTTAATTGAGCTGAAATTTACCATTGACGTTTCTAATAGCTCCTAATGAAATAATATGAAGTTAAATTAGTAAAAATTTTATGTGGAGCGATCCTAGGGGTGGCCCATACCGATTTTTATAAATTGTCTTAAAAAGATGAAATTCGGTATGGTGATACTTAATGGTCTCGTATGGAATATATCAAGTTAAAAGCGAACAAAGTGGAACCAGAGTAGCCTAGGGGTGACCCATACCGCTATCTCTATTTCATAGTTAAAGTAGCTATTTTAAAAATGGTAACTGATATTCGAGAAAATTGGTCATACTTGAATTGGCGAGATGAGAAGAAATAAAATTAAAGTGAAAGCTATTCATTGCGTTTTCTATACAGTTCAAAAAGGCACGCAAAAAGGCATAATAGGAACAAATAGCAACAAGGCTGACTTTTTGCACACACTGGTCACCCCCATTGTTTGGAAAACGGGCGTAGCGACTAAAAGTTGGCGTGGTCCTGCAGGGTTAGATTAGCTTAATAAATGTAAAGTAAACTTTAAGATTTTTTGCCAGGAGGACCCAGTGGGTTTTTGGAATTGGTTAAAGAAGCTGCAATTTTGCAGCGACGATTGCGAATAATTCGCAATCGACAAAAATTTCCCCATAATGACCGGTACCAACTACTATTAGTAGTTGGTTTGTACCGGTCACTTGACAAACATTGGAAGAGGACTCTGTCCCTGACTCGGGCTATATAAACACTGCACACTGTAGGTTTTAATCTGAAATATGTATGTAGGCATAAATCAGTAAAAGGCTTATGTCAACCGATCGACGAGAATAGTAGCCAAGCCTCAGCCAGAATTTAAAACCTTCACACATATGTATTTCAGACTCAAAGCTAATTCTTACGATAGTTATCTCAACCTAGTATGGAGAACGAGACATTTGACAACTTATCATTTCTCATTTCGTTTCCTCGTTATCTTCCACAAATTTCCAAGGTCCACAAAATCACTACAAGAAAATATAAAATGAAAACGTGTTCGTCACAGTATTAAACAGTTAAGTTAACGTAACACCCGTGAGTATTTATAAGCATAATGACTTATTGAGGAAAGTCAGGCACACTCACGTCAAGTTTGTAAATAATATTTTATAAAATGTTTAAAATATTTTTGACGTTTGCCAAACTTGTAAACTCATTACTAATTACTAAATACATATTATTTCACGAGGAAATTCCTCAATCATTGATAATTTTAAAATCCGTACAAGTTTTGTATAATAGCTATGCACACTTTTACGGAATAAAAGGAAGCCTTCATCTGACTAGGGATTGCAAATATTTTGTATTTTATTTTGAAGGAAAATAGTGTTCTATTAAATAATTAAATGTCTTTCAGTGAGCTACAAATTAATATAAAATTTAGTTTATCAACACTTTTGGATTCGTACACAAATTTGAAATATTTCCAAATGCAAATAAGGACCCCCTTTCATTTTGAGGCTAAAATTATTGCTGCATCATAAATGAGTCGTGAATGAGCCGTTAATAAGCCGGCCAAAAAATTATCAATTTGCATTTTTTTGTATCCCCGAAAATTATCTTGGGGTCCAAACATGTTTAAAACCTTAATCTTTCACGAGTTGATGACTTGTTGCATACATAAGACAAACTGGTAGGTATTAATTTGTAAGTTTAAACACTTAAGGATTTTATGTACCAAGGATTGTGTGAATTTACCTCAATATCTAACTATTCAAATAAAGGTAGTACTTACTTTTTTTAAAATCCAGAATGTTAAACGAATTAGATCACTGCACAAAACTCAAACTTCAGCTTTTATGCATCAAGTTAATTTTGATTTTTCATTGAAGAGTTCTGAGACTAATTCAGTGGATACAATAAATCCATGAAAGTTATTCACATTAGTTATCACGAAATTTATTTTTATTACTTTTTCAAAATTAAAAAAAAATTGAAATCAAGCATATTTTTAATAAATATTTTAAATGCCACACTAACAACTTGTTTATGTAAATGAGTTTATTTTTTGTATATTATTTATACGTATTTAGATGAAGCAAAGTTTATTCATTTCCTGAGATATTTTTCAAATTAAAACATGAGCGAGATCTTAGCTGACCAAATAAATTTCAAACTCGCTACTAATAAAATAAAATATCTGATCACATACATATTTATTTAACCGGCGTTATTATTCATACTTGCATCCGGTATACATACATAAGTATTGGTTTTGTGAATAGTGACCAAGATACATTCAGTTGTATTAGTTAACTATCATCAGCAATTTCTCCAATTTGTTAAAGTATATTTTATTTATTTTTATCAAACTCAGCACATTCTGCATCGATGCATAGACGACTAGCGATGATGATTAAATATTAATTATGACTTCGTATTCTATAAATGCATACATATCAAAATGATGATCCCAAAATCCAAGAGGCTAGACATGAATTTACTTTTCGAATTAGCTCACGCTAAAACTATATATATATTTACATACTATGTGACGTGTACCATGTACATGGGTGGGGAAGCTGTGAGGTTGAATTGTGCATTACCATACCAAGATTGGATGGTCTAATCCTATATATAACATGGTCAAGCGATGATAAAATTTCATGGAACAATTTTCCCATCTCCTCAACCATCCACACCCACTGTGGTAATTTAAATGTACATGTTCTTGATGCTCTGTCGACCATACGTACCTATAAATATGACTCAGATATATGTATGTACGTATGCATGCGCGGACGTTAACTGCGAGTGGAGAAATGTTTATAAAATATGCAACATCGACAAGTTAAATTAAATTTGTGGATTGCATAAATATGTAATGTTCATAACTTAATACAATTTGTTACGTCATCCATTCACTGAGAAAATTATTCACACATACATATGCAAATAGCTTAAATTTTTAGCCCGACTAAAAATATTTGTTATTCCAATTTAAATTTAACTAATGTGAACATTCGTGTACGTGCTTTAATCAAAAAGTCTGAGAACTACCCACTATACCCACTATAATCTCATAAGTTTGGTAAATAATTATTTTAGTTGTAAGCTTAATTTTGATTCAGTGTAAATGGAATACAATCTAAAACAACGTAAGTATATATTTTCTAAAAAATTGATAATAATCAGATTATTCACAGATTATTAACCGTGAATTTCTTTATTAATTAATGGGGTTTGCACGACCTCTATAACTGTGGATGCGCAAACAAATATTCGTCCATTTACTAATGTTTACATGAAAAACCATTTTGAGTAACTCTTTCGTAAATGATTATTAATTTCTATTAATTTTTACCAAATGGCATCTGCAACTATGGTCCTCCAAATGTCTCCACGCTTAATTCTAATGAAACATTGATATAAATATTTACATTATTACAGATGTAGGCGTCATAGCTAATTTGAAGCCCAAACCATCCACACGACCCAACCAAACCATTTTGCGTACTTTGCAATGTTGGTTTGCCTAGTAGTAGCAATATTAATATTGCTTTGCATTTTTGTAAAGATTTATTGGGATGATAATTCCCAGGATTTCCAAGAAGTTCTCCCAAAAATTTATTGGAAAAGAAGTGGAACAAACGAATTCATTGGTAAGTAAAAATTTAAAATACGAATATTTTTTACTTATTTTTGCATCATCTAATCTTTGTTGTATTATAGTGACAATAGGAGAAACAAATCTCAACGACCCTTTGAAAGATAATGCCAGCGCTGTAGCTGAAAATCCGGATCACCAAGGAGAACAAATTTTCAAGGCTGGAATTGAAACGGCTGTTCACCAGGAAGGTTAGCTTTACCTATGTAAATCCGGCGTTGACGAGAAAAATGTAACAAAAATTATCAGTACATATTTTTGTTTTATTTCCAGCCTCAAGCCTCCTTTCTGACGACGAGTGGACGGATATTGATGAGTGATGAAACAAAAAATGACAATTAGAGCTCAAAATAATTTTAAAAAAATATTGGCATATGATTATATTTTAAACTTTTACACATACCCTATCCTTTTTAAATATTTGTAAAACAAAACATGTCATATTGATCCTCATTTCTCCTATCTCACTGTTCATGGGCCCATCAATCAAACCGAGCTTACTGTAATAAATAAGATACATTTGGCTTGTAAATATAATATTATTTTATTCGTGCATGTTTCACAAACGTGCATAAAATGCATGAAGCTCAATTCATGCAAGGAATTTCATATTTAGAAAATACTTAATATTTTGCTACACTCCCGACGAACCAAAATCTTCAACTTTTGTACAAAATTTGTACTTCTAGATTAATGCATATTTACCGTTAAGATGTGAAGCCGATTGGTATTAATTTTGTACAAGTCGTTTGCACAAAATTCGCACTAACAAATTCTCAATGCAAGTTTGTTTGTGCAATATATGTACAAAATTAACACAAAAAAGTATGTACGAATTCTATACGAATTTGGTGATAATGAATATTCATAAATGTGGTGAGAATTTTGTGTGAATTTGGTACGACTTTGGTGCAAATCTTATGCTAATGATACGCATGAAATTAATACAAATTTATTTATACTCAAATTTCATTTCGTTATTTATTACAACTTCAACATTTTAATGATACATAAATGTTAAACTATTCTATATTATTTAAAGATGAATTACAAATTGGGACACAAAAGTATTTATCGTCATTGATCGGCAGAATTATACATTTCCGGCGCAAGGAGATGGAGGAAATTACAATACAGTTGTGTGATAGATCACTCAAAATACATATGTCTAGTCTAGAACTTCTACATGGATAAAATTCCACATCTTGTTTAACTTTAAAAAACTTAGCCTCAAATCGGTGTCAGAATCTTACTAATTAGCATGCAGTACTTTTTATCAGAAGTTAACCACACATTGTCACCACTTTTTGTACTTGGTCCACTAATTAACAACTTATTGCCTCCTGCTAAAGATGAAAATCTATCAATTTCACCTACTCGGTGAATTACCTGACTAAGATGGGATGATTTAGATCGAATCATTCGTTTCAAAGTTTGCATATAATTCTCGAATTCAAATGCGCTATAATTATCCAAGGGTCCATGATTCTCAACATCTAATTTTACATGCAATAAACTATGCATGTTATAGATCATTAGTTCTGGGAAATATAGACTTGGAATTTGTTTTACAAAATTATCTAATAATCTTGTGCAAAATTAACCCAATCTGGCTTCTTTGAACAATTAGAGAGAAATATATAAATTGCTGTATGAAATAACAAGAAATGCTGATACTTCTTGTCATCTAAAATTTTCCGTAGAGCAGCTGGACCAACATAAAGTAAAAATAATCGAAATTCCGTAGCCTTCCAATGCCTGAGGTCTTGAAGACTTCTACATTTTCGCGAAAAGTCTCTAGATATTTGAGATCGAAAGGACGTGAGCCGATCAGAAATTATAGTTTTTTGCAAATTAGACAATTTGTGTGGTTTTCTGCCCTCAGTCCAAACAAGTAATAACTTTTTCATAGTACCTAATAAACACAAATGCATATAATCTAGTGGAATCTGTGAGATCATTCCTATTGACAGAGTTTCTAAAGGAGAAGGACTAATTAATTTATGATGTGACTCGTACCAGCGTTCTTTGAATGATTGGTCAGTGTATTGATCACATTCTTTCTTAATTGGGTAAAGAATTCTAGAATTTTTATAAGTACCCCGTCTGTAGCAACGCTCACAACCGAAATATGCATTGTGTGGTTTAATTTGTTTCAAAAAACTTCTCGCAGGTGCATCTGCTGTGATGCAACTTATTCGAACAGAGTAAATAATGTCCCCTACTTTTAATGTTCCCTACTTTTAATGTTCCCTACTTTTATCCTCCAGAGCCTTCATTTCATTAACAAACGGTGATAAGAAGGACTCGATTGATTGTGGTTTTTGGCACCCATAAAATAAGCTAATAATGAGGAACAGCTAACAGTTGAGGAAGGATCCTGGTCTATTTTACCAAGAATCGGCCAAAATTGCTGATTTGAACTTTTGGAAATTGGAAGCCCGTCTACACCTATCTTAATCGATATTAAATTCTCAATACTTCTTAAATTGGAGGCTGATTCTTCGATAACTTGACACATTTAATAATTTTCGTAATTTGTGATGTTAATCCAAAGTGATGAAATGACCCCCCTGCTATTGCTATAGTGCTGATATTTCTGTCTGTTTTCAATAATGTACGTGGATCTATAGGAAACCTTCGAACGGCATCCATTGTCTAAGTAGTCCTAAAAGTGGTGACAATGCATTGTGATTAATATTATAGTTTGTTGCCCAGTTACCTAGCTGCCATAATTTGAAACATTGTTCTCCACAATTTGCAATTCATTCTTATCGCTACCTGAGTTATCACTAATACTACTTAACCTAAAACTATCACTAACAACCTCCAAGTTATCGGTGAGAATGTCTACCTCCACACTATTATTATTATTGTGCCAGACTACTTGATCCGTCGACGTTGGAGTCGACGTTGTCCGTATCCGTTTCAGCGCTTCCTGAAGTCGTTTCTCCACTCGACGTTTCTGTGTTTGATGTGACGTCAGCATTATTTGAAGTAATTTTCATTCGGAACCAGCATCCAATTTTCTGATTTATTTCAGTATCTTTCACAGAAGGGTGTGAATTTCCAGTCTTCACAGCATCTGTTGTGTGTTTGTATAAATATTAATTTTTCATTTTTCATTTATTAAAAATAAATTATAGCAACTGACCTCTAATTAGCTGAGCTGATAAACGATCTGCAAAAGGGATCTTGTTGCTCTTTGCTGTGTATCGGATTTTGCTACGCAGATCATTTCCAATCATGGAAGAAAGCATCGCGTACACATCCTGGGCCAGCGTGTTTCCATTATTTTTTGAAAGAAGGGAAACCTGAAAATAATAGGGCGGTGTTACAATTTTTTTACATATTTGCATTTAATGACTGCAAACAAAATATTTGCTTTCTTAGTATTTATTTACACACCTCTTGATTGTAAAAGGACGGATTCTTCAGTATCTCTTCAATTTGTTCTAAAGCTTTATAATGAACTTATTCCACTATGTTGTATCTGGTTGATTTCCATTTTTTGTAAATATTTATGTATGTAGGTATGTCATTTATAATTTTCTGATTTGTAAATTACAAGTTGTAATTGTATAAAATAAATAACATTTGAATCAATACCAAGCAGCGCTAAACCGTTATTTTTCTTAATGTATGGTATAACTCGTTAATACCGCATAGTATTAGATTCATACCCCACGGTATTAACAAGCAATACCATCATGCACAAAAAAATCAATACCCCAAGTCACATTTTTATACCACGACGGTATAAACACAAAATAATACCGCTTGGTATTAAATCAATACCAAAGCGGTAGAGTCACATATGAATACCGCCTGGTATTGATCTGGTATTGATTTTTCTAAGAGTGTAAAAACCCGTGGCCCCCCAGCACCCAAAAAGGACCCTACTCCTTCCTCTCAGCTTGTCGAGCTATACTGATTTAGGCTGTAAAAACGACTTGTTTGGTAAAATTGTAATTTTGGAGATTTGGCCAAATTTAACGATTTGTCAATATTTGTTCTTCATCAAATTAGTTCGTCATTTTTTGGGTATAATTGCTTCAATGCACAGAATGTATCTATAACTTATTAGAGTAAATTAAAATTTCAAACAAAATTCAATATGGCTTTTAAATTTGTCAATATGTCACTTTTTCACTCGTATCTTTGTAACTATTAAATTGTGCAAATTTTATGAAATCGGGAGATATAATTTTCGAATTGTGTAAATTTTAAGTAATATTCAATTACAGGAGGGAATTTTTCTGCTAGTAATTAAGTAGTTTTCAAGCTACAAATTAAATATTAAAATTATTGACAAAACAGTTTTCCAATAAATTATAATTAGGCATTTCACGTTGGCAACTTTGTAAAATGCGTAAATTTCATAAAACATTTCAAGTTGTACAAAACAATGACGTCCTTAAGAGTAAACTTAGAAAACTCTGCGAGCTAATTTTCCTTAGAATATTAGTAAAAGTTTGTAACTTTATGGATTTTGTAAAGTTAACAAGGAAGGACTGCGTGAATTTCCTTGTATTTAGTAAACCCAAAAAATAAATCAAGCTTTAACACAAAAACGAAGGCACTATCGATGCAAGTCTTTCACGTGTACAACTCAGATCTCAATGGGACCAATTTTATTTTGTTCACCACAAAAAATAAGCATACCTATATTTTTGCAATTTTCCTAATGCGCTAATTTGAGCGCGCGGCGCGAATTTTAAACTGTTTTCCAGCCAAAACCTCGGTTTTTAAAAATTCTGTAAATTTTCGAATTTTAGCCCGAATCAAAAAAATCGAAAACATGTCCCTTCAGAATGACTTATCAGACTTATTAAAAATCCACTTGCAACATTTTTTGAAAATTTAAAAATTTGAAAGAGTTTGTAATTTTAATGAACTTCAGAAACTGGCAAATAATTCTGAGATTCAAATTTCAAGAGAATTTGATTTGTATAGGTCAAGTAGAACATTCTGAAGAGACATGTTTTCGATTTTTTTGATTCGGGCTAAAATTCGAAAATTTACAGAATTTTTAAAAACCGAGGTTTTGGCTGGAAAACAGTTTAAAATTCTACTTTTAGCCCTTGATTTAGTCTTTACAACATTGGTGTACGTACTGTATGGAACCAAGATCAGGTGAGATCAGCACAGCATTTTTTTCACAGTGCTAACTAATGAGGTTAATTCGTCAGTTGTTTAAATTCTTTGAAAATTAAGTTTCAAGGGTAATGTTGCCTTCCGAATTGGAAGGTTCCGAAACGTGTCTCTCTTCGACCATCCTGGCACAGTCATATTTTTTTGTGGGTTGGGTTACTTTTTAAAAAGTTTTGAAAGTGTAATTTGATTAACTAACATTTTTGCACTGAAAAACTTTGATCCGGAAGTTTAGGTAGGGTAAAATGTTTCACAAGTCTCATCGTCAATGATGA